TTGCAAGTCCCTGCACCAGGGAGGAAATCCGGGAAAACAGCGATGTTTGCACACGGCGCCTGCAGTTGGAACACATAACGTGCACGTAGATTGGGTAGGTGATCAATTCATCTCAGATCTCAGATGGTCATTTCAAATCATCTTAGAACTTGCAGGGCTGGAGGGGACCCTCTGGATCATTTGAGTCCAGCCCCTGTCGAGACGGCCCGGTGGGGGATTCAAACTCCCAGCCCTGACTGAAACCACTGAGCTATCCAGCAGTTCATCCCTCACCACTGTACCTGCTGGCTATGGCTGCTGTGGTGGTCATTCAACATCTAGGAGGTCACAAGTTAAACCAAGCATCGGATCTACTGTTTACAACCTGAGCTTCTAAAAACCGAAGAACACAAACGAGGCCATGATGGTCAGGTTCCCATATTGGGAGCAGCGACTTTCTGTACTATGTAACTTCATACCCATGAAGTATTCCTTCTGGAAAAGATCTTGAAAACCCAGAAAAGTACCCATTACAAGTGACTTGACATCATTTACCACTTAAGGAACAGCCTCCTGTTCCTTCCAGTGAAATGCGTAAGAGGTATAATGGGGTTGGTTGTTGTGGGTTTTTCGGGCTCTTTGGCCGTGTTCTGAAGGTTTTTCTTCCTAAGGTTTCACCAGCCTCTGTGGCCGGCATCTTCAGAGGACAGGAGTTAGAAACTCTGTCTGTGTTCTGGTGTAGTGTGTGGGATAGTTGAGTCACCTTTCTGGTCTGTAAGTCAAATCTCAGTCTGCAGGTCAAACCTAAATTTTGCGGCCAGAGAAGTTGGTAACTCAAAAAGTCTGTAAGTCAAGCCGTCTGTAAGTCAAGGGTCCACTGTAGTTGAGTCACCCCACACTATCCCCCACACTGCACCAGAACACAGACAGAGTCCTATCTCCTGTCCTCTGAAAGAGACTGGCAAAATGTTAGGAAAAAAAAACCTTCAGAACACGGCAAAACAGCCCGAAAAACCTACAACAACCATCGGATCCCGGCCGTGAAAGCCTTCAAGAATACATATAAAGGGGTTGTTTGAAAAGGATATTAAAAAGCGAGCGAGGAGTAGCGGATGGGAAACCTTTGTGGAAGAGAGAAAGGCACTGTTTGTGTTTTCTAGACATCCGTATTTGGGGGGGGGGGGGAATAAAAGGCAACAAAAACCGCAGGATGGAGAGACTCCAAATTTAGGCACACATTGTTAGCACTTCAGATTAAATCCTAGCATCTCCTGCCTCGCAGAGGGAGAATAAGTGCACACGTCTCCATCTGTTATCGGCACATCCCAAATTTAACCCGAGTGTCCTCGGGAATATGCCCTTAACCTAAACATGGCAGGAGGTTTTATTCATTGGATCTGAAGAATATGAAATAGGGAAGAAAGCAGGCCTTGGGAGGATGGTTTGTAACCTCTCTCTCCTCACAGACTCCCCGTCGGGCTCACAAAAAGTCCAGCTTCCACCTTTCCCTTGGCGGCTGCTGGTGGTCCCAGCGCAAGAGTCTGGAGGAACCGGAGCCTGATTTAGATTTGGAAGTTTGCACGGGGTAGCCACTCGAGGTGCAACAGATCTGTGGGGTGTTTTTTGGGCTACAGCCCTCAGAATCCGGGAGGGTTGTAATCCGAAACCACAAATCATCATACCTCTTGGAGGAACCATGATTAGCCTGCTCAGGGCACTGCCATGTACATGCCCTCTTCCCTGGATCTCGCTCTCTTCCCCCCCCCCCCAGACCCATCCGAGCTCTTCTGCAACTCCCTGGCCTCCATCTCTTCCTCCTCCACCCCTTCTGTCTTTCTTCCTGCGTCTTTCGTTCTCTTCGGTTGAGGACCCGCTCTGCAGGAAAGCGCCCCGGCAGCATTTTACCAGGAGATGAGAGAGCCACTTAAGAAGCCATTTATCAAAGCGCTCAATGCCAGACAGGTGGGGAGACGGGCAAAGCTGCAGCGGGAAGCCAAGTTTAATCAACACCAGGGGGCTTTTAATACAGACGACTGGCTGCTTCTATTCTTTCTCCTTCTCTGCCTCCTCTCTCCTCTTCTTTTTATTAAGTAATTAAAAGGCTGCTTTTCCTTCTGGTTATAGACTGTACCATCACTGGGGGTAGAATGGGAAAAGTGGTCTATCGCTAAATTGGCGCTCCCTCGTTTGGCACTGAGGGGGCGAGCCAGCCATCTATGACTCTGGATTTCACGTCCATGCATGCCAAAGATGGAGGTTGAGCTGGGTAGTGAACCACACGGTGAAAGGAGGAGAGGGGGGTAGATGTTTGTGTGCCGTTTACTACATCATGGTGCCATAGGAATCCCAGAAATTACCTCCCATCACTCTGCAGGCAACACACCACCTGTGCTTTCTGGAAGTGGCTAGAGTCGTTTCCCTCTCACAAAACGAGCTACAATATTTTACATGCTCAGAAGTGGGGGGCTGTAATTTGTTCATGCTTCTAATGATCATCCTGCTCGTTGGATTCAGGGAGATGTGCCTCAAAAACATTAGTTTTTGAAGTGCTGCCTTGCTTTCCTAAGAGAAGTGAATCAAAGCATTCAAACGTGATCTGGCTTGTGGTAGATGCAGAAGCGAGCTTCCTATTTACTTAACATGCTGGAGTATCTAGGAGAGAAAAGTTTTTTTTCCATGATGAAATATCTTGTTCCACTTGCCAACTATCCCTGTTGGAATGCACAGAGGCTCATTGTGGGGGTAGTTAGGTTTTGAATAAGCAGTTAAGAGCCATCAGCTTCACAAAAGGCCTACTCCTCGTTTGTTGATATGGTCCAATACAGTTGCCTGCGTTTTTTTGGACTCTTTTCGTAGGTGGGGTGGCAGCTATAGGAGCGTTAAGCTGGATAGCTGCATACCGAATTTACCACCGTACCTCCAGATGTCAGTATCAGGAGGTACCCAAAGAGGCCAGCCTTTAGCATTTGATCTAGGTTCTTTGAAAACCCTCCCATAGCGATGCTCTTTCTGTACGTGGCATTCTTTTCGTAGCAGACACCTGCCCATGTGTCAGGCAGTGTTGAGCAGTCCTTGGTCTGAGGATGCTGTTAGACATCCACAAGAACAGTCTAACTGTTTGCATAAGACACACCACCCCCTGCAAAAAGCTGTTATGTCTGATGAGCAAAGCTTCTGGAGCGGAGACCATAGGAATCTTGGCCCTGCAGGACCTTTCCTGTATCCCGAATACCAAATTAGCAATTGGGAAATGGGCCAGACTTCCTTTTCAGATTCTATTAATCCTTTGGCTAAATGGAAGTGGACTTAGCAGTGCTACTTATTGGAATAGCATCCGTGAAATCAGCAATTTCAGCTAAGTACAGTTCAGGCACTTGTCAAGAGAAAGGCTGACCTTTCTTAAACCTTTGTGCAAACATCATTATATTACTCTCCTGGTGGAACATTCCAATTAATTAATTTCGGGTTCTCTGCTCTGTCATGAGAAGATGAATGCGGAGGAAATAATAAGTTCTCTCTCCAGTTCAGAGATCCCCCATATACCAGCTTCGTAAGCCCATGATGTTCCTGGTTTTGATTCTTTAATAGGGAGTGTGTGCCTAGCCGCTCTTGGCATTCTTATTACTGGAGTACATATTTCAAAGTGACCCTATATAATTGGCTAAACTTTTTTTTTTTAAATGGGTCAGCTTATGAATACTTAGGCTTTATAATCTGAAACTGGTAAGCAGAACCAAATATTGAAGCACAGAGCATTTTTGTGTTCTTCTGTGCCTATTCATATATCTCATCTATATCTGCATGGTGTTGTTTTGTCTTCAAAAGGTTCAGCAATAGCCATTGACTCCAGTTTCAAAGGTGCGGTGAATCCATGCCAGATTTTAGCCTGCACTGTACAGAAGTTATTCAAGGCACTGAATCTATGGGGAAGGGGAACAGAGTTCAGGACCCTGGACAGCTCCAGGAAAGGGCCAGTTAAAGCCTGAATGGATTCACAGCACCTTCAAAACTGGCCCTGAGCAGCAGTCATATACTATATGTTTCTTCGCTATACATCAGACATTTCCTTGCTATGCTTCAAAATTGTCTTTCAAAGTAGAGGCTCGGAGAGCTGAATATAATAAAATATGGATTTCTGCATTCTGGGGAAAAACTTATAATTTTGAAGCTGTTAGAAGGTGTTGCCAGCCATCGAATCCTTGGGCGAAAGTTCGTTTATGCGATCTACTCCCTAATCTTCTATAAGGGTCCCACAGAATGCACAAAAGAAGTGATGGTTTTTGCATCACAGCAATGGAATACAAAGAAATTCCTGCCTCCTTGTTTCCTCGGCAGCACTCTTACATCCTTGAAATTGTGTAACGGGCAGATGTTCAAGAGGTGCAGCTTTTCTGCAGGTATCACACAGTCTGAAAAGCTGCACTAACAGAATTTCTGCCCATATGGAGATGTTAAAAAGGAACTAGGCATCTTGTCAGGGGAAGGGTGGGAGATTAAAGCTAACTGATGCTGCCTTTTATAGATAAAAAAATTAGATTTGATTTCTTGTAAGACTGTGCAGGGACTAGGTAGCATCTGAACCCAAGTCTCCAGCGTGGACTTTGTTTCCCAGGCAACACGGAAAGCGTGTCCTTCCCCCAAATGGCCGCAAGAGCAAGGGTGACCCACCCAACATGGCGGAGCGCCCGCTTTCATGTCTTTTTCTCATGCCACACTCAAGATGGCGCACATCGAGTGTGCCCTCTGCTCATCTGCGCTGGCCAAGGTCATAGAGATAGGAAAAAATAGAGAGCAGTCTAAAATCCCCATTAAAAGTGGGTTACTAAGGGAAGTGGTTACAAAAAGGTCTTAGGGCCTCTTTAATAAAAATAAAATTAAAAAAATAAAAGTTTCTTTAAATAAAAACAACAACCCTGCAGTGGATAATAAAGCATAAAAAAATAATCCAGTGCCGGACCAGGAGTGTGCGTAACAATCCCTCTATTTTTTCCTAGCTCTACAATTTAAGATGGACGATTCCCTCTTTGCCGCCCTCAAAATGGCGGCGTCAGCGTCCCGCTTCCCTTAACTCCCTTTGTGTCCACCAACCGGCCAGAGAGGCTCCTGTTGGGCGTGGCTTTCGGGTTGCCTTGGCGACGGGGCCCAGAAACCTGTAGGGGAGGGGGGATGCTTGCGGGGTTCCGAAGATTCCACGTCGCTGAAATCCCCGGAGGCGCAGGTAAGAGAAGCGGCGAAGTGCGAAGTGCGCCTGCGCGGATTCCCGGACTCCCGTGTAGAGTGCACGTGTGAACGGGCGGGCGCCGTTTCTCTTCCTTCCTTCCTTTTTCATCGATGCATTTCAAGGGGAAGCGTGCAAAGGTATTGCAAACGCCTTGTCCGTGGGTTAGATGCGGGTCGGTGTGGACCGAGCTGGAATGCATTTTTTCCACTAGAGGAAGGAAAGAAACGGGTCTGTTAAAAAAAAACCAAAATGCCAAACGCTGCCCCTAAAAGGGGAAGGCAGCAGGAAATGAGGAAGAAGACCAGATAGGAGATGGACGGACTTCTTAAAGGAAACCCCAGGGTTGGGTTTGCAGGAGCTGAGCAGGTTCTTTGAGGACGTGATATTTTGGAGATGGCTCATTCATAAGGCGGCACAAGGTCAGAAACAGGCCGGTTGTGCCCCTTGGACTGCAATTCCCACCCATCTTTCACCCATGGACTGATAGATGTCCTGCCAGGAGGACCACATGTTCCCCTTGCTGAATTCAATGGGCGTGTGCTTTTTGCACGTCAGGGGAAAAAGTCTGGAAAATGTTGATTTTTTTTTTGTAGCCTAGAACTCTCAAGAATCTCCCAGCCACCATGTTTTATGGCAGGCTGATTGTGGAACGGGTGGTTCCTAAAAAGGTAACATCCCAAAAATCTTATTTTAGGTTTCCCAGAAGCCTCTGGTTGGCCATGTTGGGAAGGAGCCTTCTAGACAAAATGACTCATACGGTCTAATCCAGAGATTCTTTTTGAGCATTTTGCTTTACTATCCCATGCTTCCAAAGGTCTTTCCCGGTTGCAAGCTGCCTTGTGTCCTTTTCAAGGAAGAAGTCGGGGTTAAAATAGTTTAAATAAATAAGTAATAAATAAGGCGCCCGGGGATTCTGCAGCTTGCCCAAAGCCACCTAGGCTGACTCTGTTTTCTGGAGGCACGGTGGGGAATCAAACTCCCAACCTCTATCTAAATCACTGATCTATCCATGCAGCTCCATTCTGCGTTAATGTTGACATTATCAGATCCACAGACTCCTGCTTTCCAAGGCGAGCATACAAAAGAAGTCCTAAAGCTTCTAGTCCTCAGGATGAACGAGAGAGCGTTAAAACGTAGGGGGAATCTTAACAGCCGAAACAGACTGGGTGAGGGTCACTTCTAAAGATGGACGGGGTTGCTTTAGTTTTCTTTACCCCTCTGCGGATAAGCAGAATGAATGATGTGTAGCGGTAAAACTTGCACAAGACCTTTTTACGCTGATGAGTTGGCCTCTCTAAATCATGGTCCCTTCTAAGATGTAAATATTCAGATAGTTTTTGCAGAAGCAGTATTTCAGGGTATCAGACACTTCATTTCCTTTGGGCAGAAGTCCTGATTCTGAACGAATAGACCCCAGGAGTTCTGAATATTAGCAAGATGGTTTCCCCTTTATTATAGCTTAGCAAAGCCAAACAATGCATGTTAAATGAACTGGAATACAACCGCCCTTGACTCATCTATCCTTCCTCTCCAAATCCTTCCTCTCCCTGCAGGTCCATGGCTGAAGTCCACGTGATTGGTCAGATTGTGGGAGCCAGCGGATTCCCCAGCAGCAATCTTTTTTGTAAATGGGGGATCCACACAGGTAGGTAGAGCGTGTTCGTCTGGGAGGTGCAGGATTCAAGTCTTTGCCCGAGGAGAAGAAGCTGTCTCTAGGGAAGGAACCGGTGGGAGACGAGGTGTAAGGCAGAGTAGACTGAATATCCTGGATTCAGCCCCACACGTCTCTTTTTTAAAAAGGGTTTTGCTTTTACAAATTAAGTGCCACGACAGTGGCTAAAAGCTAGAACAGTGTCATGGGTGAACGAAGATGGGAAAAGTTATTTTATGGGCTGATGACTCCTTGAAGATGCCCAGCAGAGTGTGGCCAGTTCCATTCTGGCTGGAGAGTTTTGGGAAATGTAGTATAAAAAGTAACTTCCTCCATCCTTTGGTGAGTAGCCATCCTGTTTCCCAGGATGGCTACTCACCTGGAGAGTCCCAGCCTATCCTTTGGTGAGTAGCCATCCTGTTTCCCAAACCTGGAGAGTCCCAGCCTGTTAGAGCACATAGTCATGCTAAGGAGATGAACTAGAATCTCACTCATCTCAGAGATGTATAGGTGTTTTTAAAAGGTAGGAACAAATAACTTTTGTTTCTTCCTAGGCCGTCCACAGTCTACATTCGGTGAGGCTGCTCTATCGAGACATAAACAGACCGAGAGATGGAACAGCTTTACAGAGCGTAGGCAGTGGACAGCCCAGGAAGAAACAGGAATGTGACCATATACGTACATACAGTGGTGCCTCGCTTAGCGATGTTAATTCGTGCAGGGAAAAACGTTGCTAAGCGATTTCATCGCTAAACGGAATTAAAAAGCCCATAGAAATGCATTAAAACGCCATTAATGCGTTCCTATGGGCTTAAAAACTAACCTTAAGCGAAAAGCCTCCATTGCGGCGGCCATTTTCAGTGCCTCTAAAGCGAGGCAAAACAGCGGGTGGCCATTTTGTTTACCCGGCGCCCCTTTTGGAACCGCCGATCAGCTGTCTGAAAATGGGGGCTTTGCGACGTTCACTTCCCTACGATCATCACAAAGCGAATTTTCCCCATCAGGAACATCGCAAAGCGATTGCTTTTGCGATCGCAAAAAAAGAATCGCAAAGCGATTTCTTCGTTTAAACAGAGCGATCGCTATGCGAGGCACCACTGTATATAAGTGGGTGGGTGGATGGATACACAGATACACACAGAGAGACACATTATGATGTACCTGCAAGATTGATAGGTCTAAGGGCAAGCAACTGGCTACTGATCAAGCAGGAAGTTTTCAAGGCTCAGTAGAGAGTAGTAGAACCTGAACCTCAGTCCAACACTCCAACCTCCACGCCTATTGTGCTGTGCCTTCTCTTAAGTCATTTTTCTCCTTCTCCTCCTCTTCCTCCCTGTCCATCGTAGGGGGTGCTTGGAAACTGCTGTCTGGGCTCCGGGAGGGACAGACGCAAGTTGACCACCCTCAGCTGGATGACATGGCTTACTGGTCCCATCCCATCGATGTCCACTTTGCCACCAAAGGTTTGCAGGGTAAGAAATACCTGGGAGAGCGGCTCTCTGTCGTGTTCCTGGCGACTTCTGTCTTGTAAAGTTGAGGTCCTTGAATGAATCAGTTCCAAAGACTGCATGGAACAGATGATGGGGTAGGAGAGCCAAATAGAGGGTGTCCCAACACCTCGCAGGCCTACCCTTGAGGTCTGTAGCATGGTTAGTGGCGGAAATCCTGTTGCGTAGCTGTGCAGGCATAATGAAAAGCTTCAGAAGCGATAGGAAAAGAAATCATGGTAGGGTGGAAGCCATATCCGTGCAGCATGTGTTCAAGTGTGGCACGCCACAGTCCCAGTGTGAACCACACAACTGGTTGCACATGAACTGTGCCACTGTGGCCTGTGAAACTGATTGTGTAAGTCTGGTGTGAACTGCACCACCAGGCCCATCATGCCTCTGCAGGCATTGGCGCTCTATTCTGCCAACTGGAAGAGGATTTCAGCCAATCAATCCTAAGAAGCTCGTAGCTTCTTGGACAGTGGAAAGAAGAGGCTTCTGTACATCCCCAGAGGCACTCTTTGTCTCGGTAGCCTGCAGGGGTTGCAGCCGGTGTGGGATAGGATATTCCAAGCAAACCGTGCAGTCCAACTCAGATTCTGCCTCTGGAGTTCTGCGTCTTGCAGCTCCTGTGAGTCTCCTGCCTTTAAAACGTTCAGAAACTGGTCAGTGGTTTTCATCTCCTGGCCGTCTAGATGCTCCCCAGGAAGCTCACAAACCAGGCGTTTAAAAGGCTACCTCTGTCTTGCTTTGCTTTGTTAGACTCATGGTTTCGGCTGCAAAGGTAGAGTGCCTCTTGCAGTTGGAGGCTCTATCTAACAGAGCAGGAGGTGGGGGGAACCTACATTTTTAAACTTCAACTCCCCAAATGCCCCCCCAGCCAGATCCCAACAAACCCCCAATATAAACTGGGATACCTGGGGGATTCTGGGATTTGTAATCCTACCCATAACCTCCTGTAACTTTGGGACTGGCTTCCGTGAATTTCTCTAGTCCCTTTTTATTCAACGGCTTTAGCACAACGCCTTCCCACCCAATGCCCCGCCGGGGCCCTGGGGGGGGGGAGTGTTTAGAATTCGGCCCCTTTGCGCCCCCCCCCCCCATTTTAACTTCTGAGATTTCCAGTCAACGTGCTGACGGCAGGGAGGGGGTCATGCTTTGCTCATACTGACCCCGTGCTCCCCTTCCTTTTCTCTTCCCCACGTTACCCTTGATATAATTGGCTCTATAAAAGGAAATTAATCTGCGTACATCGTACGCTCCGGCAGACACAAGAGCTTAGAAACCCGCCGGCAGAGGGAAGCCAGTCAGAATCACAGGGGGATTAAGAGCCAGGAGCCTGCTGCCTTTTGAATGGGCTACAAAGCCGGTTTGTTTTGTGTGCGCGCTTCGCCGCCGCCTCTTTTCAGACTCGGCTGAGCCGGGGTCGGAAAGGGGAGGGGGGTGAGAAGAGGCGGCTGCGGGCAGGAGCGGGCCCGTGTCAAAAGGCTCCCACCTTTTTCCATCTCGGCGGATGAGACTCCGTGTAATTAATAAATCATGCCTTCCCGGCTCCTTGATTGCCGGAACGCAGGGCTCAGGGGGGAAAAGAGAAAGAAAGAAAGATATGAAAACCAGGAGCGCTCGGAGGCCTCTGATGAAATAGGGATGGAGGGGATCCATGCCGCAGGTTCAAAGGGGGGGGGGCACCAAGGAGGGGAGGGCCCGGGGGACCAAGCCAAAGAGAATTGTGGACTCTGCAGAAGAGAAAGGGCAGGACTTCATCGCTCTCGGTTTATAGAGTCGAGAGCTCTCAGGTTCAAAAAAATCCTTCCTAGAGGTTACACAGCAGACTTGCGAGGTAGGCCAGTGCTGTTAGGCCCACTAGATGTTCTCGGGGTGGGTGGAGAGGTGCCGCTCTTCATGGAGGTGGCCCCAATGACGCTCTGAGGAATGGAGAGGTGCCGGTTCCCTCATGGGGGGGGAACAGAGGGGCTACAGGACGACATGCAAAAAGTCCTCATTTTTGAATCTGGCCCACCAGGAGTCTTGTGTCCTGTTGGAAGCCCTGTTCCTTGATTATTATTATATTTTTGTCGCTGCTGTGGGTCCTGTTAATCCTGTTTCATTTTTCCCCGCCAGGCTGGCCCAAACTGCACGTCCAGGTGTGGCATGAAGACTGTTTCGGGCGCACGGAGCTGTACGGCTATGGCTTCTGCCACATCCCGTCGAGCCCCGGCTTCCACCAGCTGGACTGCGTGACCTGGCGCCCGCTGGGCTCCTGGCAGGAGCAGCTGTCCCAGCTTTTTGTGGGCGGGGGCCCCCAGCTGGTCAACAGCGACCTCGTCTACACGGGGGCCGACCGCTACCGCCTCCAGACCCGCGCCATGGGCACCGTCCACCTCCAGCTGGCGGTCCTGCTGCGCAACTTTGACCGCTACGGGGTCGAGTGCTGAACTCCCAGCGGGACCGCGCCCCTGTTCAGCGAGCGGGGGAGGAAGGAAGGAAGGAAGGCCCCCCTGCAAGACCTTCAACAGAAAGGAAAGCCTTTTGCGGCTTCAGAGGCAGCATCCTCACACTCCAGGACCCAGGGCGTTGGTTTCCACCAGCTGGACTGCGTGACCTGGCGCCCGCTGGGCTCCTGGCAGGAGCAGCTGTCCCAGCTTTTTGTGGGCGGGGGCCCCCAGCTGGTCAACAGCGACCTCGTCTACACGGGGGCCGACCGCTACCGCCTCCAGACCCGCGCCATGGGCACCGTCCACCTCCAGCTGGCGGTCCTGCTGCGCAACTTTGACCGCTACGGGGTCGAGTGCTGAACTCCCAGCGGGACGGCCCCCCTGTTCAGCGAGCGGGGGAGGAAGGAAGGAAGCCCCCCCGCCTGCAAGACCTTCAACGGAAAGGAAAGCCTTTTGCGGCCACGGAGGCAGCATCCTCACGCTCCAGGACCCAGGGCGTTGGCCCAGGGGTTGCGCCCGCCTTGCTGGGTGCAGAACTCGCCGGGGATCTTGAGCCGGAAAAAGGCACGCCGTGTTGAAGGAAGAGGCCTAACATTTGGGGGATACAAAAGGGACCAGTGCTTAACCTAAAGGAAGAAAAAGCGAGTTTTCCAGCGTTTCCAGAGTTTTCTCATCTGGGCCGGGATCTCGGGAGAGACATGCATCCCAGCCCGGGGTTCCTCTGAGACACCCCCCCCCTCCTTTGCTTTTGGGAAGGAGCGGAAAGAAGCTTTGCTCATCGGATTTTCAGTTTCTTCAAATCGCTCATAACTGGGAGGACCAGTGTTGCCGGCACCGACGTTCTGGGAGACCCATTTGTACACCTCCTGTTTCTTATTTCTGTATGGCCCTTTTGCCCCACGGTGCATTAAACTGGCTTTTGGTAAAGGTGTCTGTCTTATGCATGAGGGGTGTGTGTGAAAATTGCTTTGCCTTAGCAACCAGATGGGTAGCATACAAATTGAATGCATACCTACCTACCTACCTACCTACCTACCTACCTACCTACCTACCTACATACCTACATACATACATACATACATACATACATACATACATACATACATACATACATACATACATACATACATACATACATACATACATACATACATACCAAAACCACATTTCCATGCTTGTTCCACTCTGAAAAGAAACACATGCTTGAAACATGTTCTTTTGACTTGCCATGGGACTGACCCCATGTCCCTCTTGAGGGCTAGAGGAGAAGGGGATGACAGAGGACAAATTATTGGAGAGTGTCATTGAAGCGACCAACATGAATTTGACCCAACCTCGGGAGGCAGTGGAAGACAGGAGGGCCTGGCGTGCTCTGGTTCATGGGGTCACGAAGAATCGGACACGAGTTAAGGGCTGAACAACAAAATCCTTCACTTCCAAAATTAGAGAAGATCACTTTGTTGAAAGCAGTGTAAGCACCGTATCTCATTATGCGCTGTCATTTTAAATGATCTCATACCCACTCCCACCAGTTCTGGTTCTAGGGCTCAGCGTGGCAATGAGCAAAAGGCTTTTAAGAGCACAGCAAGGTACAGATGTGTTTCATTCTCTTCCATCTTCTGTATGTTCCTTTTCATTAAAAAAAGAGAGCCTCGTCGGCCCCTTCTCTCTACCTGCTTTTTTTAAAAACAGGGCAGACGGTAGCATGGATTACCAGCAGGTTGGTTCAGCCTGGATTTAATCAAGGCCTGTTAATCATTGTGGACAGTTCGCAAAGCCGAGTGTAAAGAAGAAGAAAAAAAGAAATACCAGCCTTTCATGTTTTTCTGGCCCCCAACCACCATTCCTGCCTCAGCTGGAATTCGGACTGCAGACGGATGTGGAAAAAGCACAGTCCAAAGAAGCAGTAAGGATTAAGCCCACCGGTAAATGGCAGTGAGGGTGGGTGAAGTGGAGGAAGTGTTCAAGCCTGCTTAATATCATCCTTCTCATTCGTTCTGACAGCATCCCCCCCCCCTTGTCTGCAAATAGGTATGGATCCAGCGGCCCCTCATGCCTAAATCATACATTTCTTAATAGTGACTCATAGTGAATCTTGGATGAAAAAAATAGCCCAAGGAGTTGAATATGAGGTTTAAGGCTGGAACAGGATGAGGCTTGAAGAAACGTCCGTCAAGGTAGACGCGGAGCCGAGATTGAGGATGGCAACCAGCGTTTGGCTCTAAATGGCCCTTAAAAAGAGCCCCCTGAATCAGCCTTCTACAGCTCCAGTGTTTCTGTTCTGACCATGGTAGACAAATGTACATTTCATGGCTCAGGGGGAGTTGGAAACTAGAAATCAACCCCTCAAAATCCCAGCCCAGTATTCTAGCTACTATGCCACACTACCTCTCAATGCCTCTGTGACCCTTCTTAGCAGGACATGATGGGCGAACAGTCGTTCTGTGGAGATTCATTGCCCACAGATTATATTTAGAAGTTCCACATAGCTATTGTTATGGCTAAATCTTCTGCCAGTTTGCCCAGTAATACATGGCTCCATTTTGTTTCTGTCCATGGAGTTTTCTTGGCAAAGATACTGGAGTGGCTTGCTAGTTCCTGCTCCAGGTGGATCGCGTTTAGTCAGAACTCTCCACTATGACCTGTCCGTCTTGGGTGGCCCTGGACGGCATAGCCCATAGCTTCTCTGAATGACTCAAGCCCCTTCGCCACGACAAGGCAGCAATCCATGAAAGGACTGCATAGTCAAAGCTATGGTTTTTTTCCAGTAGCGATGTACGGAAGTGAGAGCTGGACCATAAAGAAGGGCGACCGCCAAAGAATTGATGCTTTTGAATAGTGGTGCTGGAGGAGACTCTTGAGAGTCCCCTGGACTGCAAGGAGAACAAACCTATCCATTTTGAAGGAAATCAACCCTGAGTGCTCCCTGGAAGGACAGATCCTGAAGCTGAGGCTCCACTACTTTGGCCATCTCATGAGAAGAGAGGACTCCTTGGAAAAGACCCTGAGGTTGGGAGCATGTGAAGGCAAGAGGAGAAGGGGATGACAGAGGACAAGATGGCTGGACGGTGTCACCGAAGCGACCAACATGAATTTGACCCAACTCCGGGAGGCAGTGGAAGATAGGAGGGCTTGATGTGCTCTGGTCCACAGGGTCACAAAGAGTTGGACACGACTTAATAACTAAACAACAACAACAACATGGCTCCATTTAAAAGTCAGTCTTCAGGAGACCTTGTGGCAGGGAGTTCCATAGTTTCTAAAGACACCATGCACAAGAAGAGCGGCTTTTTGCTGACACCAAAGGAACAGCTGCCATTGCGTTGATTGACCATGAGATTGAATATTTTGGAAGGAAAAGAGGAATGGGGGGGGGATGGATGCTTTTTGCTCTCTCCTCTCCATAGTTTCTATCCACTGTGGGCTCTCGCCCTTTCTCATGTCTCCTGACCTTACCAATTGACTTCACCACAGAAACTGGGCCTGGTCTAGAGTTTGCAAAAGACACATTTCTTGACCATGTGTGCGTTTTCCCATCACTCGCCTTTCTCCAGCGCTGTCCGCCTTCGTAGCTTCTTTCTGGTTCAGCCGCTTAGCGATTGGCGTCAGAATCCAACCTGGCTTCAAGCTGGCTCCTTCTGGGACGGCTTTCTTCCAGGTCGCTGCTTTCCCGTCTCTGAGCTTTTTGCTTTGCCGCCGGCCTCCGCTCTGCCTAATCGAGGGTGAAAGTACCTGCCGTTCCTGGATGCTGTTCCTGGATGCCTCGGCTTGCGCGGGAAAGCACGGGTGTTCCCCAAAACCCCTGACAATCCAGGACTGATGCCAGCTGTGGATCAATCTGAGAGTGGCGCAGGAAAGAGTTGGGCTTTTGCGTCAATCCCAACAGGTGTACAGGGGTTCAGGGTTTGGGCCAGCGAGCGAGGGAGGTTGCCGAATTAAATGTGTTGCTTCTCGCATGGAGATGCAGATCAAGAAGGACGCGACACAGGTGCCATGAACCCCAGAACTGTTTTTATTGAGTATGATACCTGATAACATAGATAAGATAAAGGAGTATATAGTTATATACATAGTCACTGCAGCCAGAATTCTCTATGCCAAAAATTGGAAAAGTCCGCCGGTACCGAAACAAGAAGATCTTATAGAGAAGATACGGGAAACAGCGGAAATGGACATTTTATCAGAAGTGATGAAGGACTGTCCTTTACAAAAGGCAACAGAAAGATGGGACTTATTCTACATATGGACTGAGTCAACAGGCAGCGTATGAAGAGAATATATTGAAATGAGAACTGAAATCTGGAAGGCACAAAATAATAAAAAGAGTAATTTGGAATTTTGATATGCCAATACTGTATGTATAGAATGGACATTAGTATGTTATTGTTTCTCCCCTTCCCATTTAACCTCAATTCCCCTTTTCCTTTTTGTCACCCCTTGTTAAATAAAAATTTTAAAAGAAGAAGAAGAAGGACGCAACGTGGGTCCATTGCATCTGTTCCACTGTAACCCGCCAGAGAGCTCATGCGTCTCCTTGCCAGATGCCTTGGTTTGGGCTCACTTTCAGCCCGCTTTCCAAAGCATCAGGAAGCAGAGGATGGGGAAGTAGGGTGTCCTCATGCTTGTCGTAAGAGGGGGCAGTCCTCCCTTTGAAGTGCAGCCAGAGGGCCAGCCTCATTTTGGGTGGAGGCTTCTGTTTTAAAGGGCTTTGCTTCCATGCTGGATATACACATAAAGGCCCATCGAGGGGAGATCAGAGACCTTGAAATCACCGTTCCCACCTAGGCGGACACATAAGCTGCCTTTGCCAATCATGAGGTCAGAAAAAGCCAAAGAAGCAGCTTGAAACCGTCTTGATGACTTACACTTTTCTTAAAAAGTGGTCCCCCACCTTTGTCTTCGGCATGTTTGCAATTGTCCACCTGAAGCAACAAGCAGAAAACCTCCTCTCCCTTCTCTAAACTGCTCTGCGCCATCCATTCACCTCCAATGTATAGCAACCCTTATGCACAAGAGATCTCCAAAATGTCCCGTCCTCAATTCTTCAGCAATTCTAAGCTCAAGCCTGTGGCTTCCTTTAGGAGTCAGTCTATCTCGTATTTCATCTTCCTCTTTTCCTGCTGCCCTCCACCTTTCCCAGCATGAGGGTCCTTTCTAGAGAATCCTGCCTTCTTGTGAGGTGCCCCAAGCAGGACAACCTCAGTTTCACCAGTCCTGGGTATCCACAAAGCTCTCCTCCAGCACCACCTTCCAAACAAATAATTTTCCTCCCGTTGGCTTTCTTAACTGTCCGGCTTTCACATTCATAAGCGTGATTGGAAATACAAGTCTGTAGATGATTTTAGGTCTTGGTCTTTAATATCCTTACGCTTAGGTTGCTGCAAAGGAATCGTTGGAGAAAACCACCAATAGATGTACAGGTGCGCTTGGTTCTAGAAGCAAACACACATTTTGAAACATATTCTCCAATGCAACCTGTCCCTTCATCGGCCTGTCATATGACATTGCCCAAGGTTCTAGCTGGTGGATCTTCGAGGTTCTAGTAATCCTGAAAGCCTGAGGCTTTGGATCCCAGCCCAGCCCAGTGCTTAGAGAAGGAGGCTGTTATCGTGGGTACCGCATGCAGCGGAGAGACCCAACAGAACCGTCAAAAGTGATGCGTACACTCTTTGCAGTTCTTGATGACGGTCAACTGCCCAAGTGACCTTGTTTCAGTCATCGCTTACTCAAGGTGTGATGATATGGGGAAACGGACCACAATTTGGACCCTTCGTGGAGGAGAGTCTGGTGTAATCTCTTTCTCAGCAATCACGTGACACGCAAGGAAATGCCCTCCATCCTGACCCCGACCCTTTCTCAAGCTGGACCGTTTTGGTCTGGCTGAAGAGCTTCCTCTTTTGTGGGTCAGTTTCAGGTTCCACATTTTGAAGACACTGTTTCAGAAATTAAATTCAAGGATGTGGTAAGTAAAACCATTCCGTCCTGTCTGAAAGCTGTTGAAATTTCGTAGTTCTGGACGGATCCGCCAGGGGTCATCCAAGCTGCAGAGTTGATCAAGAGCAGAGGATTTGACAAGAGTTTCCAACTGGGCATTACATCAGAAAAATCCTCATTTGCATTCATTTTGTCCCAAACGCCAGTCACCATTCCACCCTAGAAGTCCCAGCAAGCAGTGCCTTACTGATCTAAACATTGTACGACACTGCCTTGTGAGAAATATTCTCTTCCTGCCTCCCAAACTTACCAGCTTTTGCTTTTCCAAACAGGGCTTGCTTGTTCCGTGCTTTTAATGGCAGCCTGATATGCATTTCGGACACCGATGTGGGCCGGGATCCTGTTGCGCAGCTGTGTAGATGGCACCGTGTTTGGAAGCCAGTTGCTGTAAATTAAGAAACCTCGGTAGACATTATCTGTTGCATACTGGTTTGGATTACTTGGTGTGCAACAGGTGAAATCTAGGGGGATTTCTTAGCATAAGGAATGCATGCCTAACAGTTATGCTGTTTGCGTAACTCTGCGACAGGATTTCAGCCATTTCCCCACATCATATAATCTTGAGCCCGTTGGTCTGTTGTTTCTACATATTGCATTTCTAGAATATGTTTTCCCTTGTTTCATATGCTTTCTCCCATTCTGTCTGGACATGTGCCCCCCCCGGAGTGTATGTTTCCATTGCAAATTATGGTGCTTCCACAAGCAGGAAGGCCAGGGCATTGATACACTACCACAGGACAGTGAAATGTGCAAACCTAAAGCAGAGTCTTGCAGCTCCATTTCATAATCTTCATTTAATAAACTAAAAAGCATGAAATCCTGTTTCAACTCAAGAGGAAACCAGCCGACAGTCTGTTGGAGGCAGTGGCAAGTATCTGAAGGGTTTTCTTTTCACTGATTTCCTATGCATTGTTTCTGCCATGAGCAACATGAGGAGGTCACCGTGCCTGACCCAGAGAGACAAGCGTAGGGGGCCAGACTGGCAACAGACAGTAGGTGTGGGAAGCTGGCTGGGTGGATGGGTGGGAAAGAAGGGCAGGATGAAAGACACAGAGAGGAGCTATCCGTTTATAGCTGGGTGCCCCATGGAAGCACCACGAATCTGGATCCCAAAATGGGAACTTGCCACATGTAACGCGGCTTGGATTCATTTCGGGTGTAACACAATGCCAAACCCCTTCTCCATGACCGAGGAACTGCTCTGAAATAGCTCAGACGCGGCCGTGGCTGGAATTGCCCACTTGCTTGGCATGCCGTGCGGTGTCTTGTGTTGGGAAGCAGGGTGGGAGTTGAATGTCAGGCACTGTGTGTGTGTACACACACACATACACACCCAGGAGGGCTAGGTTAAGCAGCCAAGCTTTTGATATCTGGTTACAGGGAGACGCTTATGAAAAAAATGAGTCAGAGACCCACCAACAGTTAAGGACGAAGTTTGTGCGGGTCTTGAGATAAGTCCATGCTGAATGTGTCTCTTGTAATCAGATTTTTTTAAAGTGCACTCTGCCTCTTCAGGAGCTAATCCTAATATTCTGTAATATCCTAACAACAACCTTGTTGGGTAGGTTGAGCTGAGAGGGAGAGAGAGAGAGAGTCCTGCTTAAGGAGCGTCACGGCCGAGGAGGAAGATTTGAACCCCAGCCTCTTCAATCCTCACAGAGCGCTGTAACCGCTGTACAACATGGCAATTCTGCTCTCTCGGTAGGCGTGCTGTTGTGTGGTGACCGTAAGGCGGTCTGGGGTTCGAATCTTACCTCAGTTTCTTGTCCTTAAAGCAACACGGGCAAGCTACTGGTCCCTTCGCCTCAACCCACTTTGGATCTATCATATATATATATTTGGCTTTATTGTTTTTAAATTTGTAAACCGCCTGTAGTAGACTTTTGGTCTAGATGGGCGGGATAGAAATCCAATGAATAAATAAAATAAACCCCTAATATCTATGTGTCATGATATTGCCCTAGCTGACAGGACTCTTGTTGAGTGGGCAACGAGGACAGAACAAGTGGCCCTCATAATCCACTGGAATTAGTGTGGTGTGTTTTCAGGAAATGTAAGGGGGATTTGTATCAAAAAGCCCAAGCCATTTCCTCCTGAATCTGGGCTAGTCTGTGTCGGCTAAATCCAGGAAACATTAGAAGATTCCCTGGCACTCCACAGCATCAGGCCCAAGGCCACTAAAGGCAATCACTGGCAGAGGGGAGAACTCACACCCGGGCCCACCGATCGGAAATATTTTCCCACGCCACGAGAAGCCCAATGGAAGGCAAGGCAAATCTTGAGCCTTCGAACAGAAGCCCGGAGCTGTAAAGATGCCCTATAATCTTTGGTGCTCCAGAAAACTAAGACTGCTCTCTTTCTCGGAAGAAGAGAGAGCCGCGGTTTCTGTGTGTGTGCTTCCTGACAGGGCATCGAGTTTGCTTTGCCGTTAACCATATGTGTATTTTACTTCTCGTCTTCCAGGAAGGAAGAGAAAGAATCTGGCCTGAGAGGTCGACAAGCCAGCAAGAAAGGCAGGCAGGCGAGAGACCCTGCTTTTGCCCAGAGTAGCTGTCCAGCTGTCCCTCCTGGTGAAGGAGTTATATATACAGCGGCGTTGGCTCCCTCCTTCACTTCCTGGGTGGAGCTGGCGCTGGGGAGAGGCAAAGAAAAACCATTTTAAAAACCTCCAAGCCAGCAGTCAGCAAGTCCCGACAGGAGTGGTAAAATTACATCCTTTCCTGCAGAGGAAGAAAGAAGGGCCAGCTGGAAGCAGAAGCAGAAGCAGCAGCAGCAGCCGCCAGCCGGCCAGCCAGCCAGCCAGCCATCTGAGCGCAGCCCCTGTCTTGGGATCCCCCCGGTCGTTGGCATCTGGATTTGGCCCCCGCGCTTCCCGGCTTGCCACATTCCAGAGAGGCCCGGGTGCCCCTCTCGGCTTGGCCGAGCCTCGAGCCCCTTTAAAGGAGGCTTGGAACTGGATCACAGAGCGAGCCGTGGTCCGCTTCGTCCGGCCGCGATGGGCCTTCGGACGGGCGCCCTTGGGTGCCACAAGTGATTGCGGGCATCCGAGGCACATGGGCAAGGCTGGTGCCCGGGAACTGTCAGTGAGACCCGAAGGGAGTTCCTGCCACCTTTGACAGCTCCAGGAACAAGTTCCAGCCTAAAGCCAAAAAGGGAGAAAGAAGAAGAAGAAGGAAAAAAAAACCTCCCCCAAGTCAGTTGATATTTTAAGAGACTCAATGTGGTCAGTGGCAGCTCACGGTCTTGCAAGAAACAGCTTCCTTTGTCAGATGACAGAGCGGAGGGATTAAGAAGAAACCGAGAAGGAGAAAAAGCATCCAGAGACCCCCCAGCCGAGGAGGGGTGTGTGTCTCCGTGTGGTGTTTTTGTGTGTTTCGTTTTGTTTTAAACGCTGAGCTAAGAGCAGAAGTGAAAAAGGGGGTGGAATCATGAAGAACTCGGTCGCAAGAGGCTGCGCCTGGCAGGGTGGTTTTCGGTTCGCAGCCGGGGGCCTTGGCATGTGGCGGGCGGCGGGCTGGCTTTTCCTCCTGCTTCTGGCGTTGCAGCACCTCTGCGCCACCTCTGCCTTCTCCACGTGCAAGACTCTGGACATGGACATGATGAAGCGCAAGCGGATCGAGGCCATCCGGGGCCAGATCCTCAGCAAGCTCAAACTGACCAGCCCGCCAGAGGTGGAAGACCCAGAGAAGAGGGTCTTGCCCGAAGACATTGTGGCCCTTTACAACAGCACCCTGGAGGTGATCCGGGAAATGGAGGCAGAGGAACCTAAGGAGACCCCACAGGAAGAGTATTACGCCAAGGAAGTGCATCGGTTCAACATGCTGCCCGCAGATCACGGTGAGCCAGATGCTCTGGGCTGGGGTGGGCGGGTTGGAGAGCAGAGAGGGGTGCTGGTGTGGGAAGCAGACCAAGATGCCTAGCGGCTACAGCAGGCCTCAAAACCTAAACTGGGGTGGTGTGTTGTGGTCTCCTCTGTGGCCCTCTTATCTTCAGTGGTAGCTTGGGGGAATAAAATTAAGTCAACGGCTGTTTCTCTGAAATCATTGAGATGAAATGAACAAGGTGCCCTCTGCTTCATTCCTCAGCATCGTTGAGGGTTAGAACCTTAAAACTTAGAAATCAACGCTTAGGTCAGGCCAGGGGTGGGCGATGTTGGGAGTCTGGACTACCAATTCCCAAATTCCTTATGCTAGCCAGAGATTCTAGGTGACTGTGTTCTACAGTGCCCTCCCCCCCACAAAAAAGGAAGGCTGGCCAAAAGTTTGTGAGATTCTGAGAATTAAGGTCCAAAACACCTCATATTACCCACTTTGGGTCAAACCTGTGCAAGGAATAACTTGTCACAGTATCGGTGAGGTCCTGTAGCCCTCAACAAACTTTTATCTTTTGCTGCTTACATGGGGATAGAGGCCAGAGGTTGCTAATCGTGTGGCGTGGGCTGAGAGAGATGCCAGTGGGTGGACTTGAGAGAATACCATCTCCTAAACGACTCAGTCGTGTGTGAATCGGACCTCAGCTTTCCCATCTGCAAAATGGGCACGCTGCGGATCTTATCGAGGGAAAATGCGTGTGAGCAACGTTGCGATGTGATGAGGGTAGGAGATCTACCCCCTAGAAGTTAAGCAAAGATGGTGTTGAGCACAAAAAAAAATCTATAGCAAGGGAGGGAGAAAAACAGAGAAGAGTTTTAAGAGTTTTTAAGATCACTGTCAGATGATGTCCCAAACTGTCAGCACAAACTAAAGAGAAGAGTTGCAGTCTTAGATCAGATCAGCAAGACCAGCCCTCCCTTTCCGACAACTGTTATTGATCCTTCAAGGAAAACTTGGCTTTTAAGTCAAGTTGTTTAACCACCCGTTGTAAACCAGTTCAGGATTCCCCCCCCCCCCCCAAGCCCTGAAGCAACCATTATTCTTCTGGTGTTGTCACCATCCGGCTCTCGCTCCAGTTTTCTTGGAGAGCATCCTAACAAGGAAAGGCAGTCTCCTTGTTTCTTGATAAAAAAAGAGACCAAATTACAGGAAAGGCAGAGCCGGTTTCTGGGTGTCGGGGTGCGGTTTAAGGCCAAGAGTCCGTTATGCGGCTGGCAACTCTGTCATTGCAAAAAAACCTGTCAGCAACCCAGAATATCAGATAACAAAGTTGGAAAAGAAGCCCCTGAATTTTTGGTCAGCAGCTTCCGGCAAGACTTTAGAGATTACCGCCTGATCTACTGGAAGGCAGCCTTTATCGCCTTATCCTTCACACCGTTCTTCTCCCCACGTTTGCCGCCCTACAGGAACCTCCCAACCCCGGAGCTGGAGTTAGGGAATGAGGGAGCCAAGCTGAGGTTACAAGGGAAGTAGACTCTGCACATGCACAGGGGATGTATTGGCACACAGCTGTGATTGTACCTTGGGAGGTTAAAAGGTTGGATGCTAAGGCTCAGATACGTGAGCCCCACACGGTGCTTTTAGGAACAGGTTGATAGGGTCGCCTCGGCCGGTACTGCCTGAAGGGGAAGATCCGTAGCATCTGAGTGAGCGAGCAGCAGAGAGAAAAAGAGAAAAATGAGAGAGAAAGAGCGACTCTCGTACTTTCGCTTCCTTCCTGTTTTCACGAAAATGCAAGAAAATGCACCCCTAATGCAGCGAGGGAGGTGATAGCCATTCCAGTCCCTTGACATAAAAAAACACGAAGCGTCTTGTGGTACTTAGAAGGCTGCCAGGTTTTAACTGGGTGCAAGCTTTTCCTAACAGCAGCCCCCTTCCAATACGTGCAACCCCCAGGCTCTCCACCCGGAACGGGGCTAGGATGTGTGAAATCGGATGCCAAAGGAAACTTGTTAGTCTATCAGCTCCCACAGGACTCTTTCTGGACCTCGCTGCCGTTGTTTGGCGCATAAAGGCAGGCAGGCGTTCACAAGACGGCCTTTTCTGCTGGGGTTGAAGGATTCTTGCACAAACCGCTTTCCCCCGGGGAAGGAAAAGCCGGGCTGGGGGGTGAAAATGGAGGTTAAGTTGGTCGGATCTTACTATTTCCTGCCAAACTGCTGGGCTCAGCAAGGCCCTGCGCCACTGGAGCATCGCCACTTCTGGCTCACGGCGTGGCTGGCCAGCGTGCTTTCAGTCTCGGGGAGAGATGTGACTTTCTCAGCCATATGATTCCTACGGATCCTATATCCCTCCCCCCCTTAAAAAAAGCCAGTGTTTTTGAGGTGCGGCCTCCGAACTGGCAGACGCTGGCGCTTTTGAAACCCAAACGGCAGCCGCTGTCAACTCCGACATGGGATCAGAGGCCAGCTATTTTTTCTGTTTTTTCTTTTCTTTTTAAACGGCCCACGGCTGCGACTCTCAATACGCACATTTAACCAAGGAAACTTTCTCTCATGGCTGCAGCTCCATGCCATAAATATCATTTTTGCCTGGCATCCGTTCCTGCACGTCCAAGCTGCTTTGCCGGCGATGACGGCCCGGGAGGCGGGCAGCGACAGTTTTATAATTTTTTTTTTTAAAAAAAAGAAAACTTGGCAGCTTTCGTATTAACGGCCCTGCTGCGAGCCACATGCGGCACTGGCTCGGGAAAGTTATGCCGAGTCTTTGAATAACGACTGGAAGCAATCAGCGATCTGAGTGACCCTGGAGTTGAACGGGCAGAGCACCCCAAAGAAGAAACACATTTAAGATCATTGGTGTTGTGGGGGGGGGGAGTAGTGTTGTTGTTGTTTTAAGGGTGGTAGTTTCAGCAGTGAGTTGTCAAAAGCCTGGCATGTGAAAAGCTCAAAAATCAAACTTCTGGATTGCAGGATGCTTGCTTAGCCAGGAACCCCTCAGATGGGTCAGACTGCAACTCCCATAATCCCCAGACAGCATAACTTCTGAAGGATTATGGGTGTTGTCGTCTGAACCATGTGCAGGCCACTGAATGGGAGAGGCACCTTCTTGGAGGACCCCTCCACCTGGACCGAAACAGCCTGAAGCCCATTTGGGCAGAGGTGGTAATTCTGTAGTTTTATGTCCTGGGTTCGAATGGTGTCGTTAGAACGAGAGTCAGGACAGGAAAAATGAATAGCTCTGTTTTCTTCGGCGCCACCTTCTCCTGCAAAATTTCTTTGTGTTATGCTGTGGTCAAACGCACAGAAAAAAAAGGTCAGCCTATATACATACACATTTTTTAAAATGTAAAATATTTTTACCCTGCCTTTCTGCTTAGAAAAGGGCCCGGGGTGGCTTACGTCAATTAAAAAAACAATGTTTAGGGTTAAAAATGGGAAGTGTACAAATACTAAAAAAGATCAAAGACCACACTTAAAGAAAACAAAGGTAAACAAAAGCAACATTGAAACCACCTTTCAAGGTAGTAAGGCACAAACAATCCATTGAAAAAACTCCTCTCAGGCAGCCGGTCCCTGAGGGAAAGCTTGCTTGAAGAGAAAGGACAGCCAAGAGGGGGCCAGCCTGACCTCCAGTGGGAGGGAGTTCCAGAGTCTCTGGGAGCAGCCATAGAGAAGGCCCCTTTCTTTTATGTCCCCATCCAGACACATCTGTGGTGGGGCTGAGAAAAAAGCCCTCAAAGCCTTCAACAATATCTGCCTCGTGGCAAGATCGCCACGTTCCGTGGCCGGATCAGAGCCACGTCAGTCAGCTCCAGCATGGTTGTCGGTGGGCTATTTATTATGGCCTTTTCTCGAGCAAGCTACGTAGAGGACTCCCTTTCCGCTGTTAAATATATTCCTATTATCTTGTCATCACAGGACGGTAGAACTGTAAAGGATCCCCCAAGAGTGCAGGGTGCAGGAAGCCCACCACGAAAGCGGGGGCATAAAAACTGGGTTTCTTGACCTCCAGCAGAGTTCTCCCGGGTTGCTTTCGGTTAAAAAAAAGAGTGTGGTTAGCGATTTTTAAAGGAGAGGGTAAGGGATGGAGGGCGGCTGTCCCCAAGCCCCCCAGGACTGCCACGTGTGTGTGTGTGTGTGTGTGACTTCCCTATTACGACAGAAATAGCACCACGTTTCTCCTGCATGACTAAATAACTGGTTTTGTAGGCCAGAGGGACATGAATGCTTTGGGGGTAGTTTTCTTCTCTCCCCCCCCTCCCCACGCACACCACCACCGAGCATTTCTCTGGGGTAAGAGGGAGCCCTTCAGGAAACCTGCTGGTGGGGTGGATTTCTCCACCCTCGTTGCCTGTTTTCCTTCCAGCCTCCAACAGCAGCTTGATGCTGTAATTTGAGCATAGGAAAACTTTTCTAAGCCTGGAATTGCAGGAACGAGAAGGAGAAACGTTTACCTGCGGTGTTCAGGTTCATGAAACATGTAGCTTTAAAAAAAAAATCAAACTCAGTTTGGTGTTTGTGGATAGAGTGATGGACCCAGGCGTCCTGAGTTTGAATCCTTGCTCAGCCATGGAGCATCCTGGGCGTGTTCGTATGCGTGCGTGTGTGTGTGTTGTGCAGAACTGGTAGAACTGCCCCTTCAGTATCCCCACATACCTTGAAAGCTCCATCAGGGTGCTATAAAATCAGCTCCATCTCGGCTTGATGGCAGATGACACTCACGCAGGGATAATTATTAAGAAAAATGTTCAAAGGCTCCCGTTTGGGGCAACTACACCTCCGCAATACCTCAGCTAATGTGGCCAGCAGCCATGCTAGCTGGAGGACTGTGGAGGTATAATAATAATAATAATAATAATAATAATAATAATAATAATAATAATAATAATAATAATAATAATAATAATAATAATAATAATAATAATAATAATAATAATAATAATAATAATAATAATAATAATAATAATAATAATAATAATAATAATAATAATAATAATAATAATAATAATAATAATAATAATAA